TAATAAATGCAAGTTATTGAACATGAAGAGTATCAGATTCCTTGACCGTCGGAGGGCGAGTGAATTTTTTTTTTCAGTGAAACATTCCAGTCTTTTCATGAACGTGTAACTCATCTCCACTTTGGGGGTAAACAGGATACAAAATTCGTGGAAAATCTCACCGAATTCACAGCTTTAGTGTTACTTGGCCGTCTACGATATTATATTTGTACCATGTGATAAATATACTTTCTTACGCTCGAAATTCCGGTTATAAGAACATACATTTCTAATTTTCATTGAAGCTATCAGATCCATTATATAGATCAAGCATTTCAAAGGAATAGCGCGAAGAACTACTTGTGACGTTTGGCACGAAATAATATATCATGGCCGACTTCAGTAGTAGACAAATGGCGACAATACTGCAGAAATATATAACATTGGCATGCTTGTATATGGTTTTGCATGGAATAAAAAGTTGAAAACATATCGAATAAAGGAAAGAAAACAGTATCATCTGTTCATCACTAATAGATTATCTATCCTAAAAATTACTGTTAAAACTCAAGTAACAAGTTCCGATGTGATCATCTTGAGCAAGTTTGGCGCGAAGATTAACTCGTGGCGTTTAACGTAAAATTATGAATAGTGACCGCCATTCATTATTCTAAGACAGATGAATTGTTTCAGAAGTAATATACAAGTAGATTTAGAGATGTGGTCCCAATAGCGTAACAGTAAGCGCTTTATATTTCCATGCTGGCGACCCGGGTTCAATCTCCTTTGTTTCCATAAAAAGTTTTATCACTTTTTCAGCTCGATTTTGCGAAAGGGGGGGGGGGTCAGAATCGGACGGAAGACCTCTCGTTGGTCGCAACGAGTTTATTTTCTAGTTATTATTATTTTTCTTCTTCCTGGGAAAATTTTGTCCACGAGTGATCTTGTAAACTACACATCCGACTAAGGTAAAATGTTTTTTGGGTCAGTAGACATGTTATGTAGATTTGCCGAACGAAGGTCATTTTGCGCGCACGTGCTTGCAATAGCGCGCACGTGCAACACGAAAAATGACCAATATAATGGATATTGCTGTAACTTTTCTTTTTCTTGATGAATTTTTTTGAAACTCATAATGTAAGGATACATTAGTAGTATAGACAAGACGGCATGGTCAAAATAGTAAGATCTCACGCGCATGCACGTGCGCTTCGCTCTGATTGGCTGAAACTAAAGTTTCAATATCTTTCTTGTTTCTTGTCATAATCTTTTGAAATTTTGAACATAGTCCTACATTATGAAGTTGTACAGCATGATATATAAAAATTTTCATGAAAGCACGCGCATGTGCGCGTGCTGCAATCTGATTGGCTGAATCTTTAAATGGCTATATCTCCTTTGTTTTTTGACGAAATGCTTTGAAATTCAAAACATAGTCATGCATTAGGATATCCTAAAATATTATATAGGAAAAAATCATGAAATCACGCGCATGCACGTGTGCTGCAATCTGATTGGCTGAAACTTTATATGGCTATATCTTCTTTGTTTTTGACGAAATGTTTCGAATTTTAGAATATAGTCATTCATTTAGATATCCTTCAATACGATAAAGATAAAAAATTATGAAATCACGCGCATGCATGTGTGCTGTAATCTGATTGGCTGAAACTTCAAATGGCTATAACTCCCTTGTTTTTCAACCAAACAGGATTGGATTTAGAACATAGATAAATATACGGGACCCCTAAAAGAAGATGTAGTCATTATGCACGTGCTTGCGCGTGCGTGCACGTGAAATGAATAAAATTTAAAATACACTCTAATGAGTGTATTTTTTTAATACTTTTGGATTAAATGCTTTGATATTAAGTATATTAAAATTTTAGATAGTGTAGACAAGATAATACATGGTCGTTAGGCACATGAACACGCGTGCAATGCCTATTTTTAAATATATTTTGTATTTTTCTTGGAAGACCTTGATTAAGTCTCAATTCCATAAAGTATTTCTTATCTAATAGAGATTACAGGGAATATGGCACCAAAAGGGAGTTGGGGAGCGTTTGGGGAACATCTGTAACGGTCCCCGTTACAATTAGCACTAGTTTTCATTGAAATCCACCGAATAGTTTACGAGAAATCGCCTGCACAAAATTTTGTCTAAAAAAAAAAGAATAATAATAATAATAATAATAATAAGAAACAATAGAATCACTATAAGGTCTTCCGTGGAGACGGAAGACTTTAACTAGAGCCGAGCTCGTTGCAAAGCAACGAGTAGGTCTTCCGTCCTGTTCGACCGGAAGTAACTTTTATTTTTCAAAAAAATGTGTAATGAAGTCCAAAAATGATTTAATCCACCACTTCTATGTTAATTAATTACAGTCATATTTGGCTACTTCCTGTTTAACCGGAAGTGACGACGACGGACGGAAAATTAAGATTTAAGCCTCCATTTACATATGTTAACCAAAATCCTTTCAGGAACAGCAATAATATGCAATTTTTGACTACTTCCGGTTTGACCGGAAGTGACGTTGCTGGACGTTATCTAACGACGCCATTAGGTAAAGCTTGACATTTTGAACAACTTTGCTTCTTGGACGTATTAAAAATTCTCAATACTTTTTGAGATATAAAGAAAAAACTTTCAGCCCCTCTAGGCCCCTTATTATAGGGGCCAGCCCTTTTTTTATCTATCGTTTGAAAGATCTTGGAATTCTAAACTTTTTTTGTTCTATATGTTTTCACAAAATATTTTTAGGTAAAAAGATATCGTAGAAAATGTGTTAAAAATTTTGAAATTCGCGAAAGGACTATTTTTGGGCCAGAGCTAGCGTCGGCGCTTCGTACTTCCGGTAGTTGAGATATACCAAATACACATCTCCAAAGGTTGCTTTATCAGCACTGAAAATTTCATGCTTCTGTGTTTAGTGCTTTTTGAGAAAACTGCCGGACAAAGTGACCCTCTAAAAATCACTTATTCGCCGAAAACTCCAAACCGGAAGTGACGTCATCAAATAAAAAAAAAACGCCTTAAGTTAATATAATTTGTCATCAATGCTGAAAGTTTCATGAAAATCCGTCGACACATTTACGAGAAATCGCCTGCACAAAATCGGTAAGAATAATAATAAGAAAAGTTGAAAAGAAACAACAGAATCAGTAGAAGGTCTTCCGTTGGAAACGGAAGACCTTAATAATAATAAGAAACAGAGTAAAAACAATATGTTCCCCAACTTCGTTTGGGGAACATAAAAAGCCACAGTAAGTCAAAGAAATATGTAAGCATTCTTTGTAGATTCAAGTTAATTCAAATCATCCCCCTATCTGCCTTTTAGGGTTAGGTTGGGACCACATGTGTAGTCAAAATGTAGTCAGTCCATTTCACTGTACAACACATCAAACATAGGGCAAGTAAAGTTTCCTGTGTTAAAAAAAGAAATCTCAACAAAATTTCCTACTTATTTTGCATTGTGTCAATTACATATTATTTTATAGAATATTTATTATTTCTTTTAAAACTATAAAAATGAAATCTATAAATCAAGGTAGAACAAAAGTTTTTAGCACACCTGGACGAAGTCGAGACGAGCTTATGCTATACCATCGGTGTCAGCGTTTCAGTTAAAGTTTTATGAGCAAGTCCATTCCGAAGTAAATGTAAGCCCTACCTGGACCAAACTTGCATAGATGATGAATCTAAGGATGGACACTACCAGATTTGCTTTGGATCTGGATCTGACCTACATTTTTCAGATGAGTAAGCAGGTTAAAGTTTTTGGAGCAGGTCCATTCCCAAGTACTACATGTATAAGCCCTACCTGGACTAAACTTGCATTGATGATGCATATAGGGATGGACACTACCAGACTTGCTTCAAATATTGGATTTGACCTACATTTTCCGGACGAGTGATCAGGTTTAAGTTTTTGGAGCAGGTCCATTCCCAAGTAACTATAAATCCTATCTGGACCAAACTTGCATGAATGATGCATCTATAAAAGATGGGCAATTCCAGACTTGCTTTGAATGTAGGAAATGAAAGACATTTTAATTACCAATGAACTTGAAGACCTACTTAAACAGAACTTGCATGAATTTTGTTGTCAGGATGCACAGTTACTATGAAGAAAACATTATGTGAGAACTTGCATGAATATTGTCAGGATGCACACTTACTATAAAGAAAACATTATGTGAGATTTGCACAACTTGTACTGAAAACATTTGCTGAGATGAGCTTCGGAATTTTTGATTACCTATGTTTTTTTCTTTGCCTTCACATTTCATAATCAATATATCCATATGAACATAATTTGAGAGGGTCTTTTAAGAAATGATCCACTAATCTGGATAATTCATTTATTTGAGCAATTTTGTTGGGGACACTCTGAGGTTTCCTCATTGATAAGGCACCACTGAATCATGATAAATAGCACTATTTGTTCATCAAAAAATGCTTTTGTTAGCTTAGCTCACCAGAGCTTTTCTGATCACCTGTTGTTTGTCATCTGTCCGGCTAGCTGTTTTGCAGTCCATCTGCAAACTTTTCACATTTTCAACTTTTTCTCAAGAACTACCGTACCACAAAGTATCTTTGGTTGAAGGGAAGTTTATTTGATAAATTGTTGAAACAAAAGAGCCAATTAGCTCCTTACAAGGGGAGGTAGTCAAGAAAATACAAAAGAAGAGTGCAGTCATTAAGATATCTTCTCAAGAAATACTTTGCCAGAAAAGCTGAAACTTGTGAAGCATCCAGGGGTAGTAAAGATCGATATAAAATTTTTCAAATCATGACCCCTGGGGTTAGGGCAGGTTCACAATAGGGAATCCAAATTTTACACTGAAATGCGAAGGGGAGAAAATTTAAAATTTTCTCAAAAACCACTGGGCAAAATAAGCTGGAACTATGTTTAAGTAAAATCATAATTTTAATAATTAATATATGTATTAAAGTTCAATAATAAAATGAATAATTAATATATGTACTAAAATGTAAGTTTTCTATATTGTAGATGAAGAGAAAGGTGGTTCTCAGGATTTACATGAGTTTCTGGAAGAAGTGTCTACAAGACTAGCAAAGAAAATTCTTTATTGTATTTTGAGAAACCATGTGACAGATCCAAAAAGTTACCTGAACGATGAATCAAAAATAACTTTGGTCAAAGAATTTTTACCAACAGAGTATCAAGCATCTGTCAATATTGACTCGATACAAAAGAAATCTATTCCTGTCATGTATACAATATTGCAGTTGTCACTTGACAAGGAACTTCAACCCAAGTCTGGTTGGGGTCAAGGGGTCAAGGACAGAGACATTGGGGTTGGAGATGATGTAGAGAGATTGTATCGAGTTCATGAACTGTATAGAGGAATTGCAAATCCAGAACAAGTATCGTTAGCTGGATATACAAGTTTATTTGAAGTGCTTTTTGAAGCTGTTGAAAGATTAGATGTAAAAGGATGGTGTAAAGAAGATTACCAGGAATTCGTCCAAAAATGGGAAAATCTGCAAAAAAATCAGTGGTTTAGGGATAATTTGAAAGCTCTACAAAGTTTTTTCAAACAGTGGTCTCTTAGAAGCAGTGCTACTGATTGATATCTTATAAGAAAAGGTATGTTTACCTTTTAATTATAGAGAGATGCAAATGGTGTAAGATGTTTTCAAAGCAGCTCAAACCATATGGTTTTAAATATTAAATGCTAAAGATTTGAGCATCTAAAATATGCATAATTTTTTCTTATTTATTCTTCTGAATTAAGTTTTTAGGTCATCTAAATTACTCATGTGGTCTATTTTAATCTATTTTTGTACTTCTTCATGCAATATATGTCACCAGTCATTATTTAACAATTTACATTTAATTTAATTGACGATTTTTAACTTCTTTTTTTGAAAACAATAAACCAATATCATTTTATTTTGGCATTAGAATATCTATAAGTTAAAGGGAACAAAAATATGATTTTCATAGTCCCTGTCCCCAAGGGACTGAGATACGAGGCTCAAACCATTAAAACATGCAAAAATTTAGAAATCTTTCTTTATTTGACATCAAGAAGTTGCTCTGTTGCTATGGCTGTAATAAGCATGAAGCTCTCTATTAGAATTATGAAACTCATGGCACCAGCATCCAGAGTCATGGATTTTCATATCTCCCTGCATATCTATCCAAAAAAATAATATATGTGCATGGTTATAATGAGCAATTAGGATGCCTTTTCCAAAATGAATTTATAATATTTGTATAGAAGCATCTTCAAATACTGTTATTCAAACTTGATTAAATAAGTTCAGAAAATAGGGTGAGGTTTCAATGGGCTATGAAATTTTTACACAGAATACATAGAGAAAAAAAATCGATCTTTAAATTTTTTCCCTGGAACAGCGAAATCAGTATACTCAGTAGTCATATATTATTTGTAAAGAAGCATCCTCAGATAGTATAGATTCTAGTTGAAATCATGACCCTTAAGGATAGGATGGGACTCCTAGTGGTGATCAAGTTTTACATGAGAATATATATATCAGAACTATGGTAGAAATATTGAAAACTGTAGTAGACATACAAAATAAGAAATTCCATTCAAAGGAGACACCTAGAAACTGAAAGTCCTGGTTGTCCTTGTACCTCATCTACTACCTTACTATTTCTCATTGTATGATGTTGGCAGCTCTTTGTTCGAAATGGACATTTAATTTAGTAAAAAATTTTGAAATTCTTGAAATTAAAATTCATTTTCTTTGTTCCAGATTGTTTCAACTGGATCATTTTCAATTAATTTTTTTTCTTGATACATGGAAAGATGTGTTTTCAAACAAAACAGTGTCATCCGTGATCCCTGGTTGGATGGTTCAGGCTGAAGCTAAATTGATAATAAGGGATAATTTGAATAGCATCTGATACATTGAAGTCAATTTCATCAAATAGGGTATTTTCTAACATAAATGGTTGATTTTAAATAAACCCTACTGGCGCTACTTCTAGAAATTAAAAAGTCAGTTTCAGAAAACTAAATATTAAAAAAAAAAAATAGAATTGAAATTAATGCAATTTTATCTAATAGAAGAGTCTAATTAGAAAGGTACTTCATGGAGTAACCTTGCCCTGGTTAAATTAGTACATTAAATTTAAAATACAAACTATAAATCACTATTTTTAAAAAAGAAAAACCTTATTATTGGAAAAGATTTTGGAAAAGGTACCAGTGTTGAATATTTATAAGCGAGATATTTTTTGAAAAGCAAATTCTTGTTTTTGCTGTATATTTTCTTTAGTTTTAAAAATATAATTATTAATAAACAAAGAATCCAATTTTGATGATTAGAGGGTCTCACATGATTACAAAAAGTTCTCACAAAGTCATTTACAGTTTTCTTATAAACTTTCATTGCGCTATAACTGCGCTGAAAGTAAAGTTAATTGCATTTACACTTTTACAGCAAATTATATGTACAATTTAAGCCATGCAAAGTTAATTCCTTGGTTCTCAGGCCTTTTTTCAAGAAATATGATGAGGGAGGGAGGCTTTTTTTTTTTTTACTTTTTTATTGCCCCCAAAACATGATGAGACAGCTTTTTACATTGTACAAAATCTCAAAAAATAATGAGGGAGGTGATTTGGTGTTTTTATTTTATTGGTTTAGCAATAAAAAGGGTCAATGAGGCACCCTTGGAAGAGATGAGGGAGGGCCTGAGAACCAAGAAATTAATTTTTTTTTGCCTAATATTTGCATAATTTTCCATATTTAACAAAATTCAGTTATGATCACAGGTTCAAAATAAAAGAAAAATTTTAAAGAATTCATTTTGACAAATGTAATGATTTTTCAACTGATAAGTAGATGGATGTTGTAACAGTGTGTTTTTGACTTTAAAATAAAGTGAAGATGGATGTCGTAACAGTGTGTTTTTGACTTTAAAATAAAGTGAAGATGGATGTCGTAACAGTGTGTTTTTGACTTTATGTTAAAGTGTAGATGAATGTTGTAACAGTGTAATTTTGACTTTACATTAAAGTGAAATTCTTTTGGAGAGGTTCATAAAAATGTTGGAAAAGAAGACAGATAAAATATATATTCTTAAAATTATAAAGAAACGGAATTATTTTTAGATATTTTTGTATATTTATTGGTAAGTTTTTTTCTCAAATTATTTGTTGTATCATCCTTATCATTTTTAGGTCACCTGAGTAAACTCAGGTGACCTATTGCTATCCGTTTTTGTCTGTCTTCGTTCGTCGTACGTCGTTTGTCGTTCGTAAACTTTTTTTAACTTCTTCTCTGGAACTACTGAACCAATTTCAACCAAATTTTGTATACAGCATCTTTGGGTGAAGGGAAACAAAAATTTTGAATTTCATCGTCCCTGCCCCCTCTGGGGCCTGAGGGGTGGGGCCAAAACCCCTAAAATTAATGCTATCTTTAAAAATCTTCTTCCTACTCCTGCACATCAAGAAGTCAAACTGTTGATACGATTGTAATCAGCACTGAGTCCCCTACCAAAATTGTGAAATTCATGGCCCCTGGGTCAGGAATTCTGGTGTTAGGGCAGGGCTATATAGATCATATAGTAAAAGTGCATCAATTGATTCTTTGAAAATCGTCCTATCTAACTAACTAACTAAGGATATAGTTATGATGATCAAGAGTTCCTCTTCAAAAATTGTGAATTTCATGGCCCCTGGGTCAGGGGTTCTGGTGTTAGGGCTGGGCTATATAGATCATATAGTAAAAGTGCATTATTTCTTTGAAAATCTTCTTCTATGCTCCTGGGTATTAAATAAACTAAGAACATAGTAATGCTGACCAAGAGTGCCTCTTTAAAAATTGTGGATTTCATGGCCCCTGGGTCAGGGACTCTGGTGTTAGGGCGGGGCTCTATTTATTGTATTGTAAAAAAATGTTTCTTTGAAAATCTTCTTCTCTACTCCTGGGTATTAAATAAACCAACTAAATACATAGTTATGATTAACAAGAGTGCATCCTCCAAAATTGTGAATTTTATGGCCCAGGGTTCAGGGGTTCTGGTGTAAGGGCGGGGCTCCATTATGCATGCATTAATTCTTCGAAAATCTTCTTCTCTTCTATGAAAGTGATGTACATGTGCATAGTTATGATGAGGAAGGATGCCTCTTCCAAAACTGTGAATTTCATGGCCCCAGGATAAGGGTTCTGGTGTTAAGGTGGGGCTCTAATGATTATATGATCATATATTAGTGAAAATGCATGAATTCTTTGAAAATCTTTTCCATTGCTCCTAGGTATTATGCCAATGATCTTTGTACATATATTTATGATGAAGAAAGGTGCATCTAGCAAAATGATTAATTTCATGTTCTCCGGGTCAGGGGGGGGGGGGGGGTATATAGTCTGAAGATAAATAAATGCTTTGAAATCTGATCTGTGGTATTAATCAACCATTTATGATCAAATAATTTAAAAATTCATGTTAAATTTCCAAAATTTTGAAATATGTGGCCCCAGGGTCAGTGGTTCCTGTGGGGTGGGGTGCTTGACTAGTTATAAAGTGAAAATACATTTTCTCTTTCTTACTCTGATCTAACTCCGGGTATTAAGTAATTAGAGTAAGCATTCTAGTAAGTGTATAATTATGATAAGCAATGTTGCCTCTTTCAAAATTGTGAATTTCATGGCATCTGGTTTAAAACACGAACCAAATTCAATTTTTGGAAAGTTGTTTCTTGATACTCAAGTGACCTATAAGGCCCATGGGCCTCTTGTTTACTCTACTGGTCAGTGTCTGTCAGTCTGTCTAGCTGCCTGTCTGTCTGTAAACAAATTTTCAAAATGCTTCTTTTACTACAGTTTTGGTCTGATTTCGATACAATTTGGCACACAAGTAGACTACACTAAGATACATAATTGTGTGTATCGGTTTTTGATTTTGATGAACAATGTTGCCGTGGTTATTAAAGATAGAAATTTCTGTGAAATACTTTAAAAATATCAGGGCATCAACGATAGTGGGAAACATGGGATAATTTGCGATTGAAGCAGTAAGATACATTGATCTGTTTATCGGTTTTTGATTTCGATGAACATTGTTGCCATGGTTACTAAAAATAGACATTTCTGTGAAATACTCACAAAATGCTATTCCAAATACAGTTTCAGTCTGATTGTAACATAATTTCCCTTTTTTAAGCGAAGTCAAACTTGTAATTTAAAAAAGCAGAATTTTCTACTTGGAACTTTTAATTTCATTATTAGCTATTAAGAAAGCTTTCTAAAAGTATTGTAGTTATTTTCATCTACATTTTTAAAAAGAAGTTATTTTAAATTGTTGTACATGTAAAATGCTTTTTTATCTTATACATTAAAAAAAAGTTTGTAGATACATTAATTTTAAATTGATTGTCTTAAAGTAGTTGTAGAGACAGTGGCTAACGCTAAAACATTCTTTATTGTTATGATCCAATGTTATGTTGCACAATAAATGTAACCTGTTGATAGTTTTCAAGAAAATTTTAAAATGAGATACAAATAATGATTTAATATTATATAAGATGGAACAAGGTGTGCAGAATGCCTATAGCTGCGGATATTTTAAAAAATTATATGAATTGGTGATTAAATATTGAAAGTAGGATTATAATTATTGAAAATCATGAAATAATGATAAACAACACTTTTTTGACGAAAAAAATCCCCAGAATTTTTTTTTTCTTTAATTAAAAATAATATGGTATTAATTCATGGGACTCCAACCC